GTATTGTAATTTTTGTTTGCCTCGCCATAGCGAACATCTTGAAATGTTAACATCCATACAACTTTTGTTTGAATGGATTTAGAAAGGAATCCTTAGGATAAAAAACGTTGAAAAGAATGTTTAAGAGATTAAAGTCGCCCTTGATAGTCTTAATAATTTGTTCCTTCCTTATCTTAACTTTAATATTTAACAATTCCCATAATTAGGATTATCTCAGATTGACAAATTAATCAAAAGATTTATGTAAAATGGAAGATTGTGAAAAAATTTATTCAAATAACTTAAACAATCAATTGAATAAGGAAAACTAATTGTAAACGAAATATTTAAAAAAATAAAAAATTAATCTTCTTTGGAGTAAAATGATCGTATATTAAAACAAAACCTAAAACCATTTAAATATGAATTAATTAAAAATAATTCTATTAAATATAATGATGAATGTTATGCAATTGCTTATAATAAAGATTGTTAAATTGTAGCACTTAGTTGTGATAAACAAATAAAAATATATGAATTTAAGTAAGAAATGTTGAAATTACTACAAGTCTTAAATGAACATTCAGAATCGATATACACTCTATATTTCATGAAAAAATCAAATGAATTGATATCTGGAGATGGTGATGGATCTATTATAATTTGGACAAACAATAATAATTAATGGAATTGCTCATAAACTATTAAAGCACATAATAAAGCTATTAGATTTTTGATTATTAATAATAATGAAGATATTTTTATATCTAGTCGTAGTGATAATACTATTTAATTTTGGAATAAATAAAAGGAATGGATCTTTTAATAAACTATCACCGATTATACTAGTCCTGTTTATTAATTAAGTTTAAATGATTAATAAAATAAAGTTACTTCTTGTGGAATGGATGAAAAAATATTGATAATTGAATACTCTGAATACAATAAAAAGTGGATTGTAATTTAAAATATTAAAGTTGAATGTTATTGATAACGAATATGCTTTATCAACAATAATTAATTCATATTTCAACCATTTAAAGGCAATTAGATGCATGTCTATGAAATGAATAGTGTAAATCAATAGTTTACTAAAACAAAAGATATTATTGTAAATGAATGTAAAATTAATTAAGGTGGATTATTTCCATAATAGTTTATTAAATTAACATAATTACTAGTTAATAAGCATGGTAATTGTGTCAATTTAATCAGAAAGACATAAAATGAGGAATTTAAAGTTGAATAATCTCAAGTTTTCATCTTAATTTCTACAAAAATGTGGAGACAATTTTTACAAAAAGTACATCTTCACTTTTTACAATACCCCCTTCTACTTTTTTTTTATAAAAAAAATTATAAAATATTTTAAGGGACATACCAAGTTTGAAAGCAAAAATGGGCTCTCCAAAAAGTTTCCTTTTGCTTTTTTTTTTTCTAAATAATTGGACCATTACTTATTATTGGGGACCTATTCTTGAGAGATCATACTACTCATGAATACAAAATCTTGAACAATCTCATCAACCTGTATCTAATTAAGTTTGAATTCTCTCATAAAAACAATAAGTATAATAATTTTATTTATGGCAACTCTTAATGAAAAATAATTATTAAAAGGACATTGCAAACATATTGCATTCTTAAAGTAGCGAAATGAAAATTACAACTATTTGTTCTCCAAATAAAGGGAAAACAAGAAAAATAAATGATATATAATTGAACTCAAATTTAGTATTAATTCGATTTCAAATAAAATAAAAATATTCTATATTAGTAAAAAATCAAGTAATGCAGATGTTGAAATGAATTCTCAATAGCATCATTTATATCTAATACAATCAATTCCAAATCTCCATAAAGTCCTAACTTCTTTTTTACAGAAATGCACTAGATACTTTTATCGATTTTGCAGTATATAAATTAAGATTAGAGTAATAGAAATTCAATATTAAAAATAAAAAAAAAATGCAGGGCCCTTTTTAAGAGAAGGGAGTTCTAACTGACATATTGGCTTAAGTTGAAGATGTGGATGAATAAATATTTAATGCTATATTAGAAATATTAAGAAAGGAAAAAGTTTAAAATTGTATTGGATATCTTTCTGGTAATATAATTCGAATATTTTTAGAATCATAAATTTTAAAACAAATAGAGAATATCACCCAAGCTGATACTGAATAAAAATTGTCTGTTATTACAAATGACATGAAAAAAATTACAGATGTATTAACGAATTTAAAAGATCATGACTTCAATTACAAAGACTTTTCCTCTGATGAAAATCAAGAATCTAAACTAAATTTAATTTAAAGCATCAAGGATACTAAAAAGGTCATATAATTTCTGGAATTTTTAGTTCACCTCACATCTATAGATAACACTTTAATATAATGTGGGTCAAATTCATTACATATATTGGTTTAGATGAAAGCTGAGCTTAAAAACAAAAATTTTGAAAACATTAAGATTTAAAATACTTCTTTGATTGGAAGTAATTTTGTTAGAGGTAATCTAAGTGGATCAGAATTTAATAACGTTAACATAAGCGGAATTAATTTGAATGGAGCATTGTTATTTAAATGTAAATGGAAAAACATAAGAATCCTTGAATTAAATATACTAAATGGTCATAACGGTTTAATCAATTCGGTTTGTTTTTCTTCTGATGGAAATACATTAGTATCTGGTAGTAATGATAAATCTATCCGACTATGTGATGTCAAAACAGGATAATAAATAGCCAAATTGGATGGTCATTATTTAAAATATATGGTCAGGTTAGTGTAGGGATTATTTATTTAAATATTACAAAAAATGTTATCAATTTTGCTTGAGAGTGATTTAAATTTAAATGATACTACTTGTAATTAATAATCTAAACAGAGAACAGTAAGCAAAATGAAAAGATTAAAATAAAGATCGATATAATTACTTAAAGAAAACTTAATTAACACAACATTCTTTTATTAAACATCTACAATATAATATGACAGATTTACTTAATTTATTACTATTTACAAAAGAGATTAGTCTTAACAACATAATTAATAATTTTGTAATATTAGTTCATAAATACTAAAAGATATTTTTTATAAAAAAAATAAGAAAAAAGATAAATTAAGAATATATTTACAAAAATAAACTTAATATAAGAATGATAAAGAAAAAAAAATTAGATTGGATGATATTTCATATTGAAAGTAATGTACCAATCACCTTTGATTATTATTCTTCAATTGATATGAAAAGTATTAAATTTTATAAAAGACTGAAAAGGTATATTAATCATCGAAAAAGTAGTATATTTTTGAAATTATTAAGATTTAAAGAGATAATTATATCTTCTCCAACCACCATCTAAGAATCTTAATTACTGATTAGCTTAAGCTCTAATTAAATTTTTACATACTTCAAATAATAAAAATTTATAAATCACTAAGATTATGTATAATCAAAGTCACCTTGTAGATAATTTCAAATTACATTAATAGTACTCCTCATTATTTTTTAGCGAATTCAATTTCACAATTAAATTTATTCATTATGAAATTATAAAGTTACCCTAAATTTATATTAAATAATGACCAAGATTGGTACTCATCTGTACATATCCATTATATATAATCCAAAAATAACGAAATTTTTTCTTCTCTATAAAAACGAGATTAACCCCTAAGATGAATATAATGATAAATTTGTGTAACTACCTAATTAAATATATAAAAAGGAAGAAATAAATGGTATTAATCATTGGCAACACACTATAAAGTATGTGATTATTTTTTAATATTACAAAAATAATTATTCACAAATATACCAAATATAAACTTTGTTCATTATAAATTTAAGAATTAAAGTATATTTTAACATCTCACGACTTTACATAAATTACATTTATTTATGTACTTTATAACAGGAACAAAAAGATTATAATTTAAAAAGTCTCTCTAAACCTTANTCAGTCTGTTTCTCTCCTGATGGAAATACATTAGCTTCTGGTAGTGATGATTAGTCTATCCGTCTATGGGATGTCAAAACAGGATAAGAAAAAGCCTAATTTGAAGGTCATGATGACTCTGTTATATCAGTCTGTTTCTCTCCTGATGGAAATACATTAGCTTCTGGTAGTGATGATTATTCTATCCGTTTATGGGATGTCAAAATAGGATAATAAAAAGCCAAATTAGATGGTCATAGTGATTATGTTAGATCAGTCTGTTTCTCTCCTGATGGAAATACATTAGCTTCTAGTAGTGCTGATAAGTCTATCCATCTATGGGATATCAAAAACAAGTATTTTTCAGATTATATATTTAAAGAAATTTAGATTAAAAATGCAAGATATCCTTTTTTTAACACACTTTTGCAGAAAAATAATATATATATAATTTAGATACATCTAATAATATGGTTTACCCAGACTTCAATTTTGTATAGATTTGAGAGAGTTTTTTATAAAAAACCGTTTCCTTTTAGGAGAATTATTGGAGTAACACTTGATTAATTTAAAAACTAACCTATATTAACCCTTAATTTAAATTTATTTTAATATACTTATTGCGTCCAATATTTGTTGATAGAGTTCTATTTTATAGTTTTTTTCTTTTTTAACAATCTTGAAGCATTACTAAAATGGAAATTAATTTAGCACATTTAAAAATTACAATAATAATTATTAGTTGCATGAATGCAATAATATCTTAATTCTTTGTATACTGTTTTTTTGGTATTATTCTTATCATAACCAAGCATTTTCTATCAATTTATATTTCGAATGTGAATTGTATAAGATTTATAAAGTATATTCTACAACTAAATCTTTCAGCATTTATCATTTCTAAGTTTTCTAATCTTCTTATTTCTTGAGAGTGAATATATCTTATTCACAAAATAATATATTCTCAACTCATATTTAATTAACAGTAATAC